TTCCGAGGATATCTAAAACGATTAACTCCACGGCGCATAGAAGTACAGAGTGCGCACCACTGGATTTGCATCCAGAAATCCAGGATTTTTTACAGATAGATCCACGTTTGCAGCCGCTTGTGACAGCCAGCGCGGCCGAGCGACGGACGAGTCTACTGCAAAGGATCCAGAGCGCAGCGGAAACACTGAAAAAGAGGGCCGCACAGCGCAAAATACAGGCCGATAAACGAGGAGAGGCGGAGATCTACCTACCTGGATCCAGAGTGTGGGTAAAGATCCATCGACGCAGCGACGCCAACAAACGGGAAGCAAGAAAGATTCACATGGTGTACGAGGGCCCGTACCAAATAAAGGAGGAGATCAGACCCAACGCCTACGTGATTCAGACTGACGACGGAGATACCGTTGGAACAGCCAACTCCCGACAGCTCAGACCGTATCGGGAGGCGAAGCTAAAACCTATAACGGCGACGATCTGCGCGATCGAGGTCGATATACAAGACCAGCCGGATGACGAAAATTTCGTAAAAATCATCTGTTACGGGTCGAAGCCACAATCGACTCATACCGACGCGAAAAGCGAGATTTTAAACAAAAGTAAAAAATCTCGAATTTCGAACAGCGCGATGGACCAGCCAACCAAGGACGGCGGACACGAGCTAACAAGATGGGGGAAGCAACGCACTCAAAACATTATCGAGAAGATGCGTTCGCGACTCTACGAACACCTCAAGGACGACGGACATCCCGTGCAGCCGAAGGAAGCCGAGCAAAGCAGTGAGCAGCCGGGAGACCAGGCGCAACAAGGATCGGCCCGAAAATCCAACGAGGAAGCTGATGACTGCGTAATACTGCGCGAAGTGCAGAAAAGGGCAGTGTCAGTGCGCGAGAAAAGCATAAAGCCGGAAAAGGTGCAGAAAAGTGCAAATAATCCGCGCAAAAGTGCAAATAATCCGCGAAAAAGTGCAAATCGAGCGACGCGAGAATCGAACGACAAAATAGCGAGCGAACCACGCAGCGAATTCGCGATTCCAAAAAGCGTATCCGTTCGATCCAGAAGATTAAGAAATCGCCGAGCGGAAATAAGTGATAACACAGCCGCCGACGAAAAATTAAAAACAGTCATAAAAGACGATAAGAGTGCGAAGTGCGAAAGTGTTGAAATAAAAACCGAACCGCGATCACTCGAAAAGGATCCAAAGATCCACGAATTAAAGACAATCGATAAAGACATTAGGGAAAAAGTTCCGAAAGACGCGGTCGTGAAAAGCGAAATTAAAACGTTTAGCGATAACGCGCAAAACATTGTGAAATCGGAAAAAATAAAAAATTCCGATTTAGAATTAGATCCTAATTCCCAATATTCGTTACAGACTACGAGCGTAGCGGATAATTTACAAAAAGATCCCGCGACATACTTAAAAGACGACATATCGAGTAAAGTATCGGGAGAAAAAATTAAAGTACGCGAGAGCGCGGACATATACAAAAGGTGTACGCAAAGCGCACGTAAAAAATTTATATACAATTATATACAATCCGAAATCGAAACTTTTATCGATCCACGGGTTAATAAAATTAACATCACGCAGTTCGCGAGAGAATTAGACTTAATTAAATTTAAAGATAGTAAAATTCTAGCGAGCGGTGATAAAAGCGATAGCACTGTGGGCGAGCGAGCAGTTCCCGACAGTAGGGGCAACCGGCGCGACAGAGCGATTCAAGACTCGAGAGAACGATGCCAGAGAACACCGCCGGGTGACACCAGCGAACAAAGCAGCGAACCGGTGTACGGCGAACAATTACTCACGATCAGCGATACAGCGACGACCGTGGTAAAGTCACTCGGTAAGACACTCGGGCTCTTGCGGTTGTTGAAAGAGATGGATTCTGTAAATAAAACCATGCAGAACCTAAGAGAAGAACGAGAGGAGGAAAACCAGCTATACAACCTCGCAACGAGGAATGCAGGCTGGGAGGCGCTAAAACAACTGCGCGACGACCGGATACGGTTATGGAAGGAGTTCTTGCCACGCGACGAGGACAGCCAAATTCCAGACGAACACGAGTTCACCTCGATCTGGAACGAGGAAATCCAGCGGACGAAGGACATGCTGGAAAATCTCTATCATAACCTCCAACTAGTCAATGGGACCAAGCTGTTTAAGAAGACAACGGTTCTCAAAGACGAAAATGGTCGTGAAACAACCGAGGTTACGTCTCTGATAATGGTTCGCAATCTGACGTCCAAAGCGGACAGCGAACAACCGTTGGAGATCAATCATCGGATCATCGGGAAGCAGATGACTTCCCGATACAGAATGCAAAGAAGAGACTTGCACGAGGATAATCCAAACGAAGCTATCGTGACGGAATCCAAAACGACAGAGTCGGCCAACTTACTCAGCCAGTTCACCATAGCGGAAGAAACTGCGTCGCAACAAGGCGAGCCAACGACTCCCGCTAAACTGGTAAAAGAAGTCATTGAAAAATACGCAAGCCAAATAACAGACAGCGGCGTACAACAAACGGATGAACGCGAGACATCGCCGATCCTCAGCGGAAAGCGGCGGCGCTCACCAGACTCCCCGAAAAACCCAAAACGAACTCTCCTCGATAAATCGAGTTTAGCCCGTTTGGAGGGGGAAATGCAGCCGGAGGCAGACCAGCCCCTGAGAGCCAGCACACCGGTGAGCAAGGAACCCGAAGGAAGGATGAGCCCAGCGGCCAACACTTCCCGCTCGTCAACCACCAGCTGGATAAGGCTGAAATCCCCGGTGAAGATGGTGACCGACAAAATAATATATAGAACGGGTCCGAAAGGGGACAAGATACCGGTCATCCGCCTCAAAAGGATGGAGGAGAAGAAGGACGTCGTCGATGATCCTCAGCCAGGACCGTCATGGCGATAAACAATAGATAAGCGCTTAGGTTAAGAAAAACTGTAATATAGCGTTGGAAAATAAAGAAAAATAATGATAAAACACGCGAGTTGCGTATTCTAGGTTAAACTTTAGCAGTAAGTTAGATTGACCTGTAAGACATGTATAAACATGCGATTAATTATTAAAACATTATATATATAAACTAGAATAAGCGTTAAGTCGCACAAAGTAGAGATAAGTCTATATATACTCAGTATTGCCATGTTTCAGGCGAATTAAAGATTTCTTAAATTATAACAGATTAAGTTAGGTTAGAAAACACCTAAATACCGCCCGACTAAGATAGCTTAACGCGCGGCATATAGATGAGACGCGTAAAAACACGTAGAAGCGAATAGCGCGAATAAACGTGTACGACGGGGTGCGGACAAAAGGCGCGATTGCCTAGATAGTCGCGTATAACATAGAGGCACACGAGACACCGAAAAGTGTAGATATCCTAGCGTTGGATACGTCGGCACAGCGAAAAGTGCAATAGGTGTAGACGAAAAGTGTAGATGTATCGCGGGTTGCGGAAAACAGGCGCGGCGGTACTGATAGTCGCGGCCGACCCAGATACACTCCCTGCACACGAAAGTGTAGGTATCCGGGCGACGGATAGCCTAGCGCAGTGGAAAGTGTAGATAGTGTAGATAAAAAGTGCGGATGTACGAAAAGTTGCATCTGGAAGGCGCAATCGAGCAAGCGGTTGCGGATAACACCGAAACACGCTAGGAACCGAAAAGTGTGAGCATCCGAACGCCGGATAAGACAGAAAAACATAAAACGTAAGAAGTGTACATAAAAGTGCGAAGACAAGCGAAGGACGCGATCCGAGCGCAGATGTACGAAGAATGTAAATAGATATAAGGAAAGAACTCCCGGACAATCGTCTCCGAGGTGTTGGACGTAGCGCACACCCGGAAACGTATCTAGTTAAGCGGTAGAATTAAGAAAAGTGCACGAAAGTGTATAGCGGTGCACTTGCGGCGGAAGCCATGATTCAGGCGCCAGCGAAAGATGGGCGGCGCTTGTCCGAAGAGTGGGAACGGCCCAAGAGTGGGGAGGCAATATAAAAGACCGTGCGGAGCGTCGCTCTGGGCCAGTCTCGCCGGACTTTTTCCCGAACAATAAACTGCGAATAGTTTACGCGAGTGTGATAGTATATCGCGAGAGGAAATTTCCACAGCGGTAATTAATTAAGAATAACGTTAATTGATTTACTAAGGCGTGCGAGTAGTGTCCGTCTTCGAGGACGTTAAACCGTTTAAGTTAATATAACTAAATCGCGAGTAAAGCGAATGTATTCTTTGTTTAATTATATATTAATTATTATTTTTTAACGAAGAAACGTGTCGTTCTTGCGAAACCCGATTCCCGAATATCCTTGCGTTCCCGCGGAATAAATCGGTCGTGAAACCGGCTCGTGGGTGACGAACGGAAGAAAGGATCCGGAAAACGAAGGTCGACGTACACGCGAAACGTCGCGGGCAAGCAGCGTTCGCGTTTGAATACGCGAACAACGCGAACATTAAATCGACGCGGAATCCGCAGTGCGGTTTGGCGGCGTCGTCCCGACAAAGAGAAAACCAGTGTCGGAACGCGGTTCTTTGTGACGAGTGTAACAAAGGCCTCTTTAGATTGTCGTACGCGTAGCGGCGACAAGGGTATCGAATTACCCTTTGTTTCGGGTACCGTGCTAAAGTGTGGTAACGGCTGACGCAACGACGCAGCCACTGCGCAACAAAGGTACACGGAAAATCCCACGCAGTGACGCTCAACCGGCGGATCCTCGTAAGACAGGGGCTCTCAACCGGTGGATCCTCGGACCATAGGGGTGCTCAACTGGCGGATCCGCGTAGCCAGTGCGACTCAACTGGCGGATCTAGGGACAAACCTTGCTCGTTGGCGGTTAAACGAGCTGGCGACCGTAACATCATCAAGGTAGGAACCTCAGTAAACCTCTTTAAACGTTGACTCTCTCCACGCGTCCGGTCACAATCGCACTTCACTCGACTTGTCGTCCTGTCCTGCCACCGTCGCTCCCTCCATGGCGGCGTTCAACTCACGCTCGGGATGGTTCGGCAGCATTACTGGATACCACAGGGCCGCGCGCTGGTGAAGCGGGTCCTCCGCCAGTGCGTGACGTGCGTCCGTTGGCGGGCGGCGACTCCTCAGCAACTGATGGGCGACCTCCCGCCGGAACGAGTTACTCCCAGCCGACCCTTCCTCAATATGGGGGTCGATTACGCCGGACCCGTGCAGCTCAGGACCACCCGAGGACACCGAGCATACAAGGCATTCATCGCCGTCTTTGTATGCCTCAGCACTAGGGCCGTCCATCTAGAAGTCGCGTTCGATTACACGGCCGAAGCATTTCTAGCAGCGTTGCAGCGATTTACGTCCCGCCGAGGGCTATGCCACACCCTGTGGAGCGACTGCGGGACCAACTTCGTGGGAGCGGATGCTCAGCTGAGGCAACTCTTCTCAGCTAGTAGTCCGAACCAGCGGAGAGTCGGCGAGCAGCTCGCCAGCGAGGGAATCCGATGGCGCTTCAGCCCACCGTCCGCTCCGCACTTCGGGGGAATCTGGGAAGCCGCCGTCAAGTCCCTGAAGCACCATTTGCGCCGGACTATAGGAGATGCCACGCTAACGTTCGAGGAGATGACCACCCTCCTCACGCAGGTAGAAGCGTGCCTCAATTCTCGTCCCCTCCAGGCTCTAACAGACGACGCCGAGGATCTTTCCGCCTTGACGCCCGGGCACTTCCTCATAGGCTCCGCCCTCACTGCTGTGCCCGAACCTACACAATCGGATTCCCCGCCGAGCCATCTGAGCCATCTGGCAGATGTTGCAGCGGATGCGGGACCACTTCTGGGAACGTTGGTCACGAGAGTACCTCCACAACCTTCATCACAGGCCGAAATGGCAGGAGGCAAGCTTCGAGATCGGGCGATTGTGCCTCGTACGGAACGAGAACCCGGTGGCCGCTAGCGCGAATCGTGAACACACACCCCGGAGAAGACAGACAGATGCGCGTCGTCACCGTCCGAACAGCGAGCTCACAATTAAAGCGGCCGATTACGAAGCTCGTCCTCTTGCCAGTTTGCGTGGCTAATGCGACGAGGAACAACGACTGACAGCACTCAAATGCTGCGAAAAGATTGTTAAAATAGCCTTCATTTTTTAGCCTCTGAATCTATAAATTTATTAAAAACCATTCTATCAGTTTGTTCACTATACACCATGAAAAACAAAATGTTAATAATTTAGTTTATATAACAGGTATTGACAATATACATAATTACCGGCGCTGGATTCATGTAGCTGACTGAGCCTCGAATCAGTCTCGCGTCGTGATTCCCACATACTTGTTAACCCACGTTCACTTATTCAAAAAAAATATGTCTCTTATTCATTCTTTTCCCGAAGCTTCGGCAAGGCGGGCGGGATGTTCGAAATGCATCGAGCATCAAAGAATAAAAAAAAAATGATTACTCTGAAGTCCAAGGGGAGAGTCGAGGGCCCGACCGTACATTCGGCGCCCCTGGCCGCCGTTAAATCCGACAGCTCTTTGTCTGTGCGAAACTCAAAACAACGCTCGCCCTTCTGGAAAAATCTAAGATTAATAAATAACAAGCCACACAGTTAAATTTAAACGGTTTTAGTAACTAGCGAGCTCTCGAGAAATCGCGACCTTTCCCGAGTATAAATTGACGCACTCGAAGAACTGGGCTTTTGTCAAAAAGTTGTAACGGCTAGGCCGTTACTAGCGCACGACACAGCGCGGCGCCATTTTTGGCGCCAAGCGCCGCCGATTGAGCACCTCGACCGAGCCGCGGAATTGGGAGCCGCGGACTGAGAGTCACGTCCTGCCCCACTACTACGCGCATGACCGCGTGAGGATATCGAGTGGGGGTAGCTAGCCGGGTATATAAGGCGGCCGCTCCGGCAGACCGGTACCTATTCCTGTCCCGACTCTCGGGACGCTAGAAGCCACAGGGCGCACCCTGGGCATTCGAAGCCTACCGAACTCCTCTTCCGTCCTTGCTTCTGGTCCAGAGCACGGCCTCAGCCGTGCCCAGTCGGCTGTATCCGACGTCCAGAAGCCCTCCGTCAAGCCACGGACGATCCAGTCCAGGGTACGGGGCTCTCGTATTCGGTCGGTTGCAACCGACGTCTGGAATTGTCCGGCTTACTTCCGACCTGCTCTCCGTCGAGCCACGGACGACCCGGTCCAGGGTACGGGGCTCCCGTACTCGGTCGGTCTCAACCGACGTCCGGACTTGTCCGGCTCGCATCCTGGCATCCGTATAGCCGTTTTCACGGCTCCTGGAACAATTAGCCGTTTTCACGGCTCCTGGAACAACTAGCCGTTTTCACGGCTCTTGGAACAACTAGCCGTTTTCACGGCTCCGGTAACAACGGGCCCCTCTTACGGTTCCCCCCCCCCCCGGCTACGTGGACGAGCTCCGCACCGGAGGAACGACCGCCGCCGTAACTCCTGGAGGACAGCCGGATCCACGGTACCCGAAGAGACCACCGCAGCTCCCAGAGGACGACCGGATCCACGCTGCCCGGACAACGACCGCCCCCCCCCCCCACCGTTCAGCATATCTCACGGCCCTCCGCGGAATAACACTGTCGCGAAATAAACTGTTCTTTCTTTCTTTCTTTTTCTCCTCCTACCAGATCCTCAACCGACCTTTCGTCACGGTCGCCCGTCAACTGCTCGTCCGTCGTCCGCGTGTTTATTCTGGGGGGTCCTGTTTAATTCCCCTGGTCTAGAGCCCGGTTGCTACCGGGCCCGGTCGGTTGCTACCGACGTCCAGTATCCCGACGTACCACGGGGCACCCGTGTACGTCATCCGGAGGACAGGTTCTCCTGTCCTCAGCCGACCTCGGTTGGTTGCTACCGACGTCCAGTATCCCGACGTACCACGGGGCACCCGTGTACGTCATCCGGAGGACAGGTTCTCCTGTCCTCAGCCGACCTCGGTTGGCAGACCCTGTTAGGCCCGCGTCCGTGCTATACCGCACGCGACCTCTCTGGTTTCTCCGCGATCGGCGTTCGAAAGAACCGTCCGCGCATTTGTAGCATAGACTTTGTAAATATCTCGATTAGTATTAGGTCATACCCGTTAGCTCTTAGATTTAATATAATTGAAGCCGCATCCGCAGCTCCGTCGCGACTTCCTGTAAATAATAAGCGTAGCATACTTGTACGGGTCTACCGCCCGAAACTCTCATCTATCTGTTCTTTTCTTAAATAAACATATTTTCGCCCAGAACTGTGTGGTGCTTTGCGAGCCTGAGCCTCCCCTTCTCCCGAACCCTGATTCCGGCGAGCCGATCCGCGGCATCGGGAAAGGTGCTCCGTTACAAAGTAATCGACTCTAATAGACGCTCAGTCCGTTGCTCGCGACATCGAAACTCCGTGCGAATTATCGTTTAGCCTCTCGTAGTTAATTGAACGCTCCGTTTATTTGAGAATTACAATCTCAGTTGAACAATTCAAGACTATCTGATCTCTCTCATTCTCGCGTCGCGCTCGCTCCTCGCAAATATCTTCGCATTACTGCGAACAAAAAGACTTATCAGCGAGTAGCGACGCGTTATTTCTGGTCGCGTATGTTTAAGGAAATCGCCAATTATGTTCGACATTGTGACATCTCTCAGAGGACGAAGGTAGAACAAAATGTGCCGATGGGTTTAATGGGACGCCGAGCTGTCGAAACTCCGTGGACGGTAGTAGCAGCGGATATTATGGGTCTTTTTCCGTCGAGTAAAAGTGGTAACGCGTACATTTTGGTAATACAAGATCTGTTTACGAAGTGGATTAAATGTAGCCCACTCCGAAACGCGACGGGCAAAAAGATCCGCGAGCTCTTGAACGAATTAATTGTGAATTGTTGGGGCGCGCCGCGAGTACTCTTAACGGATAACGGCACGGAATTTATGAATCGCGAATTACAGGCATTTGCGGAAGAGCATGGTGTAGTTCATACTACCGTACCTCCGTACCATCCTAAGGCGAATCCGGTAGAACGCGTTAATAGAATACTTAAAACAATGATTACGGCATTTCTCGAACACGATCATCGCGAATGGGATATAAACTTGGCTGAGTTCAGGTTCGCGTATAACACGGCGTACCATACTTCCTTACAAGCTACTCCGGCGTTCTTAAATTCCGGCAGAGAATCTCAACCGGTTAAAACCGTGCGTGGAAGGCACGAGCCAGCTGTCGAAGTCGAGGAAACGAATCCCGAAAATTGGGAAGAGCGCATGGAGAGAATACAGGCTTTGCGAAATTGGGTAGTAGAAAACTTAGAGGCTGCGCATAGTAAACAGGCGCATTATTATAATTTGCGTAGACGAGATCACCGTTTTGCGATTGGCGAACAAGTTCTGAAGCGGCAGCATGTGTTGTCGTCAGCCGCTCAGAATATTTCGGTGAAATTAGCGACTACGTACCACGGTACGTTTACTATCGCGAAAATGTTGTCGCCGATAGTGTGCGAGTTGCATGATAGCGCTCAGAGATCGATAGGCAAAGTACATATTAAGGACTTAAAACCGTATAATGCTCCACCGGACCCTCCAGACGTTTAAAATTGGATATTTGCGTTTGAGCAACACCACTTTTAGTGAATCAGATCGCGAACGTCGCACGGGACGACCCGCGACAAACGAGACCGCGAGCCCCAATGAGAGACGACATCGCGAATCAAATTCGTGAAAGGCGATGACAGATCGCACCTCGTTTGGATTAGTGAAAAATTTCGGTAATTTTTTTTGTGTTACATTTTGTGTTCGTGTCTTCCTCGGCTCCGGGGACTTTGGTCGCCCGAACGTGTACGAGCGGACGAAGGTAGCGTCCGATTAGTGGCCATGATGCGTGACCGAAGCCGATATGTTCTCTCCTGGCATGGGAGGGTGTGACGTTGGCGCAGCCATGATGATAAGATCCGATCGCAGACTGATGTCGATCGTCAAACATCTCAATCTTTTATATTTTTCTTCATGTGCAATGGAGGGGATATTTGCTGACCTATGTAATTTTGCGGACTACATTAGTCAATGGATTATATTCGACAATCCGATCATGCAAGATGAGACAATAGGCGGTAGTATTCGCCGGTATATTTTCCCTGCACACAAACTCTATTCTCACGTCCACGGTAGCAGTTTTGACAGACTCGTTTTGTCGCGAGCAATCAATGATCGCTAGAGGACCGCAATGTAGAAATTTTGGAATGGTTAATAGCGCGGCGCTATTATCACATCCGTAATAAGATTTGCGAAAACGAGAGTACATGTCGAATAGGACGGCAAATCTATTTTTTTCAAAATCTAAATTTAAATCATCGTAGGGTTAAAATTCCGAGTTTAAATAGAGTTTAACGTTGGTCAATTTGCAGTTATCGAACAATGTAACATCTTGCGACAACGAATTCTTTTTACCAGTTTGCAGTGCAAAGATCACGTATCGCGATTTCTCTAGCTGGGAGGCGGCTTTCACGGTCCACGAATGTTTAGTCGTGCTATGTAACAGAGGAAATTCGTATAAATCCCAAGATCGGAAACTCATGTTCAAGTATCGTCCGCTTTCCAACATTCGCAACATTGATAATTTATTAATCTCGTTCAATATTACATGAGGCATACGCCACTGTATCTTGAGTAATTCAATCTCAGCTTCCGACGACGGATGTCCGAATAGACAATTATTATCGTTGCGCGAACGTATCAAAATCAATTCGTGACGAGCCTTAATCACAACGCGTTTATAATCTTCACAAAATTCCAGCAACATGTTGAGCAGCACGCAAAAGTTGAAATAATTTTTGTCACCGTTGTACGTCAAATCCCACGATGCATTCTTCAAGTTTATACTTTTCTGGTGCGTTAGAGAGACATAATTTTTGAGCGTCGATGTTATTCCAACATTTCTGTTGCGATCAATCTCTACTCCGTCGAGTTCGTATCGAAGCTCATCAAACATGAATGCGACGCAATTGTTTCCCAATACGACCTTCATTTCATCACTTATACCATATACGCAGCGCCTGCAGAATAGCAACCTCTTATACTTTCAAAGCGCCTGCAAGACTTCAACCCTTTTTCTACATGGGATGGTAAAGTCACTTCCTACTTTACCGACCAATAATAAAATGATAATATAGAAAATTCCTACCTTACCGACTGACGATAAAACAGATTTCTTTACCGACCGATGGTAACATACCGGCTTTTTCTTTTACCGACACTTTACTACCTTACCGACCGATGGTAACATACCGACTTTTTTCTTACCGACACTTTACTATCTTACCGACCGATGGTAACTTACCAACCTAACGACTTACCGACCTACCAGTTACCGACGTTTTACCAGGAGCATACCTTTTATATGAATATGCTGCCCTGATACTTTAAAATTTTTAAACTTTAATTTTCAAAGATATTAACCAATAAACATATATATATTTATATATATTCTTTCACTAGGAGCATGCCTCTTTCATATACATGCTATCCTAATACTTTAAATTTATTCAAACTCAAAAGTTATCGACGTACTAACTTACCGACTTACCGACGTATACCTCTTATACGAATATACTATCCTGATACATTGTAAATCTTTAAAACCAAATTCTGAGGACCACAGCCGAATATTTACACATATTCTTACATGGTCCTATGTATTTTCGACTCCCTAATCCACAGGGAGGTCCAAAAGCTAAATTCCATTATTCTTATAAATTTTGAAGTCTTGTCGGTAAAACATATTTCTTATACGTACATATACTATAGATACTTTTATTTAACAGTCTACATATACTGTATACGCGTTACTAAATACGCATATTCATACTGTTTATAACAAAGATTCGACCATGAGCTCATCCGTTTAAATAATTTATAATAATTTAAAGATAAGCCGCGCGACATTTCGACGCCAAAAATGTAATACGAGTATTTAAGAATGACCCTGAAGACATCCGGTGCGACGATTTGGCGACGCAAATTTATTTTAGCCGAAGGACCTGTCACATAAATTATACGATAAAATATCAAATGTCACTGATAACCTTCAGGAAAAATATGAAGTATCAGAAGAATTGTTGCCAAAAGTGATTCATCGATGACTCATCGCATCCGGTTGCATCAGATTTTTTCTACTTCCTGATTGGCTACTCTACTTCCCCCACCACCTCAAGACCCAAAAACGGGGACCCACCATCGTTCAACCGCCTACGCAAAGTTGCGCACGCATCCAATTTTAAGAGGGGAACCAATCATCGGAGACTCCGCCCTGCGAAAAGGAACCTGCTCCCACTCAGCGAAAATTGCCCAAAAAGTAGGAATCCTAGTATAAAAACCCATGCAGAGCGACTCTCTTCGCATTTGACACACAGTTCTTTCAACGTATAACCTCCACGCAGTCACGAGTATTTACTTTTGAGCCGAAAAGGACTTAGTCCGAGAACTGTCAAATCTTTGTCTCTTTATATTTAAGAACAAAGCAAATAAAGTATATTTTAAATCCATCTGTGTCTCTTGCCACTGGCTCCCTCAATTCTCCTACAGCGACGTCACCGAGGTAGACTGTCCTCCCTGGAGATCTTCAATTCTACTCTTCAGTACTCATTGGTAAGTACTTATTTCTTTTATTTTACATACTTCTCTATTCTCGTGATTTGCAACGATATTCTACTACATTTACTATCCTTTTACTACGATCTACTACGATCAATTGTTGCATCTATGCCTCATAGGTCCGGTTTCACCAACGTGATTTAATCTAATCGGTCGATTAAATTGGTCACCAGAATTGCCAATAACAAGACTTTAAAAACGAACGTGTTCCTAACCTATTCTTGTCGCGTATACGCAAGCATTATAACCGTGAAAGTGGGAATAAGGGTTGAATTATCATATAAAATGAATTATATATTTGATATAATTAATAATTACGAGAATATTAACAACGTTATGGATTTCTTAGACTACGACGAATACGATGATATTCCTGAATATGATGATAATCCTGAAAGAAATGCAAGAAGAGAACGTATATTTCAACCACGTATTAATTATTTTGACGTTTTGAATGACAAACTTTTCGAAGAAAGATTTAGGATATCAAAACCGGTCTTCACAATGATTCTAGAAAGAATTGAACATGTAATACGACATGCCAGCGATCGGTATGTACATTTATAATGTTTAAATTATAATTATATTTTGGAGATACTTTAATATTATGTTATACATTAACAGGAATAATCCTATTCTTCCTGAGATCCAATTAATGGTTGCCTTAAGATTTTATGCAAGTGCATCTTTCTATATGGTTATTGGTGATTTTTCTGGAATTAGCAGAGCTAGTGTCCACAGAATTGTGCATCGTGTGTCTAATGCTATTGCTGCATTAAAAGATGAATACATAAAGCTCCCTTCCACACATCAGGAAATTGTAGAAAATGAAGCACAATTTTTTAAAATAGCTAAATTTATCCATGTGATGGGATGTATAGATTGTACACATATAAAGATCCAATCATGTGGTAAGAACATTTGTACTATAGTATATAAACGTTTGTATTTTGTACAATGTTTCTTTGTTTTCTAGGAGGAGAAGATGGTGAAGTATATCGCAACAGAAAGGGATACTTTTCTATAAACACACAAGTAGTCATAAATGCAAAGCTTGAAATTATAGATATAGTTGCTCGTTGGCCAGGATCTGCACACGACTCAACTATTTTTGACCATTCAAGAATTAAAATTTTACTTGAAATGGGCAGATTCGGCGACAGTGTACTCCTCGGAGATTCTGGATATCCAACTTTGCCATATTTAATGACTCCTTTATTAAATTCCACAACAGCAGCAGAGCATCTATATAATGAATCTCAGATTCGAACTCGTTCAACAGTTGAACGATGTTTCGGGATGTGGAAACGAAAATTTCCTGTATTAGCGATTGGAATGCGTTTTAACAGGATTGAAAAGGCACTTGTTGTTATTGTAGCAACAACTGTTCTACACAACGCTTCCATACGAGAAAGATTTGAAAATCCAAATGTTGATGCATATAATGCTATCCAACAATTGCACAATGCTATAAATATTCATGATCAGCGGCAAAATTTATTTCTGGACTATTTTCATAGGTAATATGCATTTATTATTAAAAATAATGCAATTGAGGCATTTTAATCAACACTTCAATAATTTCAGATTAATTTAAACCGTATTATAAGATACTTAAGTCTCAAGGCAGCACTGGATCAATACATGTGAAATATGATAGCAAGTATAGTGCTCTCTCAGAGTTAATAACAGAACGCAATAATAAGAGTATTTTCCACTATCTTAGAATAAGTAATAACTAAAACTAAATAATAAAATAATATGTATGGCGTTTCCATTTTTACAAAAATAAATACATGTTTAACGCATTCTTAGTGTTTCTTGACATACGTATGTTACTAGGTTAATAGAACAAAAAATTAATCTATATAAATAAACATAAATAAGCAAACAAAAACATTTACGTAAAGAATATTTTATGTAAAAAAAGTAACTTAAATTTCTCAAATAATGAACCTCATGTAAAGACTAATACTAGTACTTAAAATATTTTAATACAGTCTTATATTAAAGCTAATTGTATCGTGAAACTATTTTAAGACTGTTACTTATAAGATTGACTCATGGTTTTCAACCATATAAAAGGAAAAGTTCTAATTAAAATATACTTAATTTTATAAAGAAATAAATCTAAAGAAATATATTGCGAAAAATAAAGTTTAGCACTTTGGTTTAAGTTTACAGAAATAAGTACCTCTACTTTTCCTCTTTTTATGTTTCCTTTGTAAGTGACGTTTTTAATATTTTCACTTTTAGCTGCTCTTGTTCTAATTTCTGTTTCAATATTTCAACTTCGTAGATATTTTTTACTTCTATACTTGATTTTAAAGTGTTTGTTAAGTCAATTTTTGCTTTTTCTAATTCACAGCTTTCTTGATATCTTCGTTTCTTACATCTTTCTTCTATTGATGTCACCACATTTTCTTTTACAGGAAGACTTTTCTCTGAATTAATACTGTTACTTGAAGAACAACTGTCCTGTAAAGAACGACTTTCCTTTAAAGGAGTACTTATTTTCGATCATAAATTTTTAATACTGCAACCCTGCCAGTTTTTAATATTATCATTTTTCTGCAAATACTGAAAACTTAAAGCATATAAATTACTGAAAATTCGTATACATTGCATATCTTAGTAACAGTTTACTTACTGTAAACACTTCAACTGAATGATCACAACTACTGTCATCTTGTAATAATTCCTCGACATTAGCGTTTTCATTAATTGTAATAGCATCAGAATCAAACGGATTGCATAATCCAGATACTGCGGCTTTTGTCATCATTTCTCGAACTTTTTCTAATAAAGGATTTGGTTTTATACTTGGAAGACCTCCACCTACAAATAAAATAAGGATTTAATCTACATAGCTAATACAATACAAAAAATACAATACAAAAAAATAAAAAATACAAAAACAATACAATATAATAAAAACTTTTACCTGTTTTATACAATTCTCTCTGTAGCTGTGCACAATATTTTTTGGTGTCTCTTTTTAAATTATCCCAACACAGACGTAAACATCGTTCTGTTCGTTGCTGTATTTCTGGTTTATTTTTATTAAAATTTATAGTTACGTTGGCCCATGCTTCTTCTTTTTCTCTATTACTCGTCATATTAGTTACTTTATTTTCAATTATATGATGATATGTTGATAATTCTTTTACCAGTTGTAATTTTTCATCTTTGGTAAAATTTTTGCCTCGTACTTTATTTCCCTTGTCCATTTTCTGAAAGTATAATTTTTTTATGAAAAATATAATACTTATAATTTATAATTACGTATACTTTTAACTGCAGTTATTCATTTTACATACTTTGTTATTATTATCTTCTCTCCGGCAATACACGGTTCTTCACAGCAAGTCGCCATCCACGGACCTTGCTTCACAGAAAGAAAATAGGTTACGATCAGTTTTATTATGTTCAGCAGTTGGCAACTCTGACAGTTAATCGACCGATTAGATTAAATCACGTTGGTGAAACCGGGCCATATATTATTGATGTCTACTCTGAGATGCCTATATACAATTATAATTAAATAATTGAAATAATATTACAATTATACATCTGATATATAAAGATTTATTGAAGACATTATTATTAATAATTGAATCGTTAACGCAAAGCATTGAAGACTCATTAAAGAGCTTCATTATAAAAACGAATTAATAATCGCATTCAATTTCCGAACAGACTTCCTTAAGTACGTTCATGAAAATCACATATAATGGTAGTATGTCTGTCTTTCTTTATCACTAGATTCTCAGCGCGAGATTCAAACGAATATTATTAAAGGAATTATTTTAATTATTTGATTGAAAGCTAAGCTAGCTAACACGGTATTTATCCTTCCATTTTCCAGTACCTCTGTATTCTTTCAGCATTATAACAAACGCAATAAAAAGAAATCTATTTTCCTATCTACTGAAAGTCCAGAAATTTCCATGAACCTACATATATTTTTCATGTATAATATATATGGAATTGGGGAACCTGCCATTTTGTTTTACCATATTTCACGGCAGTCCGCCATTTTGTGAACCACTTTCAATAGTGCATCGCATATTCTTATTGAAGCAATTTGCCAATGAATTAATTCACTTTTATTGACTTTATTATGTTATTTCATTTTAACAATTAATTAATTTATTTTATTTAAATTTATATTTGTATGACTCATCATATAATTTATTGAAATATTCTGTTAACGAACACCTACCGTATGACTCATCATTGTATGACTCATCGTCGTATGACTCATCATATAATTTATTGAAATATTATGTTAACGAACATCTGCCGTATGACTCATCATTGTATGACTCATCATAAAATTTATTATAACATAATTAAATTCATTTATTAAATTTAAATATTTTATTGAATTGAACATTTGGCAATTTGAATTATTTTATTTAAATTATTATATGAAATACTTTATTCAAATTAATTGATATCTTGTATCAATACGATTTTTATTTCATGATCTGTTGCCGCATCTGCGCGATATTTTATTGCTGCATCTGCGCAATTCTATTTAAATTATTTGCGATGATACATAATTAACATGTTTTTTTATATGATCTTCTCTCTCTAATTTACTGGACTGCTTCATCTTTCTCTGATCTGCTATATGCGTATAAATATTTATTTGCGATAATACGACATTCTATCGTAATATTCATTTTTAACAGGTTCCACTTAACATCAGCAATCGTGAGTATTCGTCATACATCCCCATGAATAAATATCTGAATTCTAAATGACAATTTACTCTTAGATGGTTAGAGTCCGGCAGCGCAACTCAAATAATAATAGATCCCTTATTCCTATGCGGAATTCGGGCGTGCAGAGACGCTCCCTCTTACGCGAATCAACCATTAGCCATCCGTCAGCCGACGCAGGAATCACCATAGAAATTGTCCAAGCAAGCGAAGATAATACAGTTACCCTTATTGAAAGTCCCCCTGCTCTCCCTACTACATCAGAGATTCTCCCAGACTACCAAGAATCAGAGCCTGAGGAAGAAGACGTAGAAATAATCAACGACGACCACAGTGACAGCTTCTTCCTGGAAATTAACATTGAACAGCCACACGTACAAATACCTGTGGAAGCATTTCTCGCATGAGAACGAGAGGCAGAGATCAGACGGACTCCAGGTACGCACGATAAACAGACGCAGTGCGCTGAAATCTCCCTTTCCCCTAGTCATTCGCCTGCATATGCTAGAGAATACTCACCAGTTCTTAATTCGCACCACAGATGATATCTTCTCCCAGAAGAAGACCCCGAGCAAACATTAAATGATATTTTCTACGGCATAGACGAAGTAGATTGAGAACCTCCATTTTGCATTATACTAAATACCTACGACCAAAGAAAGAAGTCCAAAGAGTAAAAATGTATTAAAGGATACTAAATATATGCATATGATTATTGCAATGTATATGATTGTTCATATTTTCAATTCGATTTTTTATAATAGATATATTACAATTCATTTAATATTATTTTTCTTTTAATATTGAAAATAAAAAAGAAATATGTCTATTTTATAGTAAAAATTTTTATTCAGTTGGCGCAACTTTTTAATATTATTTGTATGAAATTAAAACAATTATTTTGTACAATTTTTTTTAGTTAAATTATTTTAAGTTTTTATTTTGAATTAGCGTAATGTTTGGATATCATTATTTTTCTAGGATATAATGTAAAAAATTATATCAGCTATTTTGTATAACTTTTTTTGGTTAAAGTATTTTTATAAGTTTTTATTTTCACTTAGCGCAATTTTTTTGATATCATTATTTTTGTAGGATATACAATACAGTAGTTTTTTACAGTTAATAATACACTATTTTGCAAATACATATACTGTTTTTTACGCGAACTTAGCACTTTTTTTACTTTTTTTTTAAAAGGGTAATTTTTTACGGATATCACTCTTTTTTGTACTATATGTTAAACATCTCTAAATAAATGAGCAAAGAACCCGCCATCACCCCCGTCATATTTCATTAAAATTAGACGGTCCTCTTTGCTTACTATATAGATATTCAGATCCTGCAAACTTCTTTGCTATTCTTATTGCAAAAATAACGGATAACTACAAATCAATATGTCATTAGAAACCGCACACCTCTTTTCTTTCAAAAACTAAGCATTTTAGAGGAAAATGTTTTTGACAAAAATTGTATGATTTTGAGGGAAACATAAGATGGTGTCATTAGTTTGACCTCGGATGGCATCGTTAAGGTCAGGTCAAGGACATCTTTAATTTCTTAAATGGAATCACATATTTTTTATTGCATATACTTATACCTTATGTCGAGAGTTTTCCAAAACACTATAATAAAGTATTTTTTCATTGAGTACTTTTCGATTTATAAGGCTTAAAATAATATCTTAATTTTATATAAACTATAAAATATAAGTCTGCGACCGAACAGGTGGTCCCTAAAGGTACCAGACCGGTTCGCAAGGGAAAGGTCAATGCAAAAAATTTAAGGCTATGATTTTAGAGTGTTTTTCATTGTAATTTTTTGCACAATACACGGGAAAAATATTCAAAAAAATCGTGGATAGATCCTTGATATTCAAAAAAATCATTTCAAGGTCAAATTTCTTTTTTATCCTATTTCACGCTGAAACATCGTATTTCTACGATTTTTGAGGTGTTGCGTACGAAAAAAATTGTAAAAAAATCCTGGAAGAATGATCGATCTTGAATAAGGACATAGGGAAAATATTTTTTTACATTTTAAAATAGAGTTTATCAATAATATTTCGCTCTCAGCATAACCCAGGACCAACGACGTGGACGTGGCGAAAATTTGGTCCCTTTGGAGTGCTTGATTTCCGTGAGTCTCCTTGCCTCTCACGTCGGGGTGCTTGATTTCCGTGAGTCCCCTTGCCTCTCACATTGTGTTGAATTATGATAATGTCACTTTAGTGTGGTACTCTTCAAAGCATGGTGTTACGCATAGAGGAATATCACAATTAGAGCACATATAATTTGTTCGAGATTGAGTTTTACGTAAAGAGCACAAGTGGCACCTTCGTTCGTACCTTTTCGCGGAAAGTGGCGACCAGTTAATCGACTGGCAGTGACTTCGTTACGCTGAATGATTTGAGTAGACTCAAGTTTCAATAAAGATCTAGCTACTTGTAATCGAAATGAAGGAAACGATGTATATTCTTGATTTGTTTTTTTATATAAAGAATCAGCATTGCATAGACATAAATCTACAAGGTGAAAGAAGAGCTTCCGATACCATTTCATTGTTTTTCGCACCGTTTCGTTATAGATAATTGTCTATCTACATTATCAACACCACCCATATTTTTATTGTAGTCTTGAATGCACGTTGGCTTTATAATATCTTCTTTTGTTTTATAACTTTTTTTCCAGTTGCACAGAATCCAACTTCGTGTACAGTTGTGAGCATGCGAACACTACGTTTGTCTTCCCACTTCATTGCCATCCAAACATTATTATGAGCGACTTGTACTTCACCTCGCTCCAATTTGTTATCCAGCTTTGTTATCCCCTTCCTATTTGCTTTCACCGTACCGCACATTCCCGTATCACGGTCATGCAGAAATTCAGCCAAAATAGGCGATGTGTACCAATTATCTATATATATATAACATGAGCCTTCTGAAAATAAGGTTGTAAAAAGTGAGCGACAATATCACCAGTAATACCTAAATCGAACTTTTGATAATCAGTATCTGCTCCAGTATAAATAATAAAACCTAAAATAAATCCAGTATCACAGTCTACCAACTCAAAAAATTTTATGCCAAAACGATTTCTTTTCAATGGAATGTATTGCTTGAATCGAAGCCTACCTTTCCATAACAACAGATTTTCATCTATGCACAGGTTTTTGCCTGGGATAAGAACTGCCGAGAATTTACTTTGTAGATGATCTATTACTGGTTGTATTTTTTGTAATGGTTGATTGACAATTTCTGAATCATCTTCATTATTTTGAAAGTGTAAATTTCGCAGAAGTTGCAGATATCTATCACGAGTCATTGTTTGTCGAAAAATTGGAGTATGTAGCAAAGGATCTGTAGACCAATAATCTTTCAAATCGCCTTTTCAAACATGGCCCATTAGAATTGAAAGACCAAGAAAAAATTCAAACTCATCTTTCGTAAAAGGGCACCAATCTTTCATATGAGAAGACGAAGTCTGAGGATTTTGTGCCTGATAACGATTCGTTTCATCTACAATCCTTTGAACTAGAGAAGAATCGCAAAAATAATTAAAAATTCTATTGGTTTGATTCCTGCTATGGAGATGTTAGGATTTATTTTGGAGCTGCCTTCAAAATCTTTGATTGATGGGAAAA